GTTCTCTTTCTAGAGTGGTCCTCTTTCTGCCCCTCCTCACAGGCACGTGCTTCAAGCAGACCTTGTAAGCTTCAGCTGTCAGTTGAGCTATTCCCTGTGTGGGAGTTTTGTCGCTTAAGACCGTCTCCCATTGAATGGTTGCAAGGTCTACATTTATTTTTTCCCAGCCAATCCTCTTATTGTTGAAATTGAATTGATTGAATATTCCTTCTCGCTTGTTTGGTCTCTTAGACCTACTACCGTTATTTATGCTAGTTCGCACTTCAATGAGCTTATGGTCTGAGTATGAAGTATCTGAGATTGTGATATCCCTGATTAGTTCATCATTGTTTGTGAATAACAAGTCTAGTGTGTTTTCGTTCCTAGTTGGTTCTGTAATCTGTTGATTGAGCGAGAATTTGTCACAGAATCTCAAAAGTTCTCTAACCTGTGGTTGGTTATTTCCCGGGTCATTCCCTGCTATGATATTTGTGTTTGCCGTTCTCCATCTTAGACTCGGTAAATTGAAATCTCCAAGAAAGATAATATCTGGAGCTGGGTTTGCTAGGTTGTCAAGTATGTTCTCTATTTTGTGCATCTGCTCTGTGAATTCCTCAAACGTTGTATCTGGCGGTTTATATATTAGAATAATAATTAAGTTTAGTTTCTCTATTGGTCCTCACCAATAGAGGGTCCCTACAAATAGAGGGTCCTCACTAATAGAGGGGTCCTCACTAATAGAGGGGTCCTCACTAATAAAGGGTCCTCACTAATAGAGGGTCCTCACTAATAGAGGGTCCTCACCAATAGAGGGTCCTCACTAATGGAGGGTCCTCACCAATAGAGGGTCCCTACAAATAGAGGGTCCTCACTAATAGAGGGGTCCTCACCAATAGAGGGTCCCTACAAATAGAGGGTCCTCACTAATAGAGGGGTCCTCACTAATAGAGGGGTCCTCACTAATAGAGGGGTCCTCACTAATAGAGGGGTCCTCACTAATAAAGGGTCCTCACCAATAGAGGGTCCTTACCAATAGAGGGTCCTCACCAATAGAGGGTCCTCACCAATAGAGGGTCCTCACTAATAGAGTGTCCTCACCAATAGAGGGTTCTCACCAATAGAGGGTCCTCACCAATAGAGGGTCCTCACCAATAGAGGGTCCTCACCAATAGAGGGTCCTCACCAAGAAGAGGGTCCTCACCAATAGAGGGTCCTCACTAATAGAGTGTCCTCACCAATAAAGGGTTCTCACCAATAGAGGGCCCTCACCAATAGAGGGTTCTCACCAATAGAGGGTCCTCACCAATAGAGGGTCCTCACCAATAGAGGGTCCTCACCAATAGAGGGTCCTCACTAATAGAGTGTCCTCACCAATAGCGGGTCCTCACCAATAGAAGGTCCTCACTAATAGAGGGTCCTCACCAATAGAGGGTCCTCACCAATAGAGGGTCCTCACCAAGAAGAGGGTCCTCACCAATAGAGGGTCCTCACCAATAGAGGGTCCTCACCAATAGAGGGTTCTCACCAATAGAGGGTCCTCACCAATAGAGGGTCCTCACCAAGAAGAGGGTCCTCACCAATAGAGGGTCCTCACCAAGAAGAGGGTCCTCACCAATAGAGGGTCCTCACCAAGAAGAGGGTCCTCACCAATAGAGAGTCCTCACCAATAGAGGGTCCTCACCAAGAGGAGGGTTCTCACCAATAGAGGGTCCTCACCAAGAAGAGGGTTCTCACCAATAGAGGGTCCTCACCAAGAAGAGGGTTCTCACCAATAGAGGGTCCTCACCAATAGAGGGTCCTCACCAAGAAGAGGGTCCTCACCAATAGAGAGTCCTCACCAATAGAGGGTCCTCACCAAGAAGAGGGTCCTCACCAATAGAGAGTCCTCACCAATAGAGGGTCCTCACCAAGAAGAGGGTCCTCACCAATAGAGGGTCCTCACCAATAGAGGGTCCTCACCAAGAAGAGGGTCCTCACCAATAGAGGGTCCTCACTAATAGAGTGTCCTCACCAATAGAGGGTTCTCACCAATAGAGGGTCCTCACCAATAGAGGGTCCTCACCAAGAAGAGGGTTCTCACCAATAGAGGGTCCTCACCAAGAAGAGGGTTCTCACCAATAGAGGGTCCTCACCAAGAAGAGGGTCCTCACCAATAGAGGGTCCTCACCAAGAAGAGGGTCCTCACCAATAGAGGGTCCTCACCAATAGAGGGTTCTTACCAATAGAGAGTCCTCACCAATAGAGGGTCCTCACCAAGAAGAGGGTCCTCACCAATAGAGGGTCCTCACCAAGAAGAGGGTCCTCACCAATAGAGGGTCCTCACCAAGAAGAGGGTCCTCACCAATAGAGGGTCCTCACCAAGAAGAGGGTCCTCACCAATAGAGGGTCCTCACCAAGAAGAGGGTCCTCACCAATAGAGGGTACTCACCAAGAAGAGGGTCCTCACCAATAGAGGGTCCTCACCAAGAAGAGGGTTCTCACCAATAGAGGGTCCTCACGAAGAAGAGGGTCCTCACCAATAGAGGGTCCTCACCAAGAAGAGGGTCCTCACCAATAGAGGGCCCTCACCAAGAAGAGGGTCCTCACCAATAGAGGGTCCTCACCAAGAAGAGGGTCCTCACCAATAGAGGGTCCTCACCAAGAAGAGGGTTCTCACCAATAGAGAGTCCTCACCAATAGAGGGTCCTCATCAAGAAGAGGGTTCTCACCAATAGAGGGTCCTCACCAAGAAGAGGGTCCTCACCAATAGAGGGTCCTCACCAATAGAGGGTCCTCACCAATAGAGGGTCCTCACCAATAGAGGGTCCTCACCAATAGAGGGTCCTCACCAAGAAGAGGGTCCTCACCAAGAAGAGGGTCCTCACCAATAGAGAGTCCTCACCAATAGAGGGTCCTCATCAAGAAGAGGGTTCTCACCAATAGAGGGTCCTCACTAATAGAGGGTCCTCACTAATAGAGTGTCCTCACTAATAGAGGGATGAAGGAACTCTGTCTAGGACTTACATGTATTCTCCCATCTGTTATTTCATTCAGTCAACCCGTTCTCGACTCAGGTCCATTACATCCAGCAGTCGACCCCACAGTCAACCCGTCCTCGACTCAGGTCCATTACATCCAGCGGTCGACCCCACAGTCAACCCGTCCTCGACTCAGGTCCATTACATCCAGCGGTCGCCCCCACAGTCAACCCGTCCTCGACTCAGGTCCATTACATCCAGCGGTCGACCCCACAGTCAACCCGTCCTCGACTCAGGTCCATTACATCCAGCGGTCGACCCCACAGTCACATTCACAAATTTTGACATGCTGTTCATTCAAAACGAAAATTTTCTCAAATATAAATTAATATTATAATATATATTAGTATATTGTGCATATATGGACATAGGTTAGGTTAGGTGACCGTTTTTCATTGACAAACAGGGGGTTTGGCGGGTGCATGGAATCACTTCTGGGTCTTTGTTTGGAGGACGGGCTGCTATGTTTGGAGGACGGGCTGCTTTGTTTGGAGGACGGGCTGCTTTGTTTGGAGGACGGGCTGCTATGTTTGGAGGACGGGCTGCTATGTTTGGAGGACGGACTGCTTTGTTTGGAGGACGGGCTGCTTTGTTTGGAGGACGGGCTGCTATGTTTGGAGGACGGGCTGCTTTGTTTGGAGGACGGGCTGCTATGTTTGGAGGACGGACTGCTATGTTTGGAGGACGGACTGCTTTGTTTGGAGGACGGGCTGCTATGTTTGGAGGACGGGCTGCTATGTTTGGAGGACGGACTGCTTTGTTTGGAGGACGGACTGCTGACTGCTATGTTTGGAGGACGGGCTGCTTTGTTTGGAGGACGGGCTGCTATGTTTGGAGGACGGGCTGCTTTGTTTGGAGGACGGGCTGCTTTGTTTGGAGGACGGGCTGCTTTGTTTGGAGGACGGGACTGCTTATGTTTGGAGGACGGCTGCTATGTTTGGAGGACGGGCTGCTATGTTTGGAGGACGGGCTGCTGGAGGACGGCTGCTTTGTTTGGAGGACGGGCTGCTTTGTTTGGAGGACGGGCTGCTATGTTTGGAGGACGGTCTGCTTTGTTTGGAGGACGGGCTGCTATGTTTGGAGGACGGACTGCTTTGTTTGGAGGACGGGCTGCTATGTTTGGAGGACGGGCTGCTATGTTTGGAGGACGGACTGCTATGTTTGGAGGACGGACTGCTTTGTTTGGAGGACGGACTGCTATGTTTGGAGGACGGGCTGCTTTGTTTGGAGGACGGACTGCTATGTTTGGAGGACGGACTGCTTTGTTTGGAGGACGGGCTGCTATGTTTGGAGGACGGACTGCTATGTTTGGAGGACGGACTGCTATGTTTGGAGGACGGACTGCTTTGTTTGGAGGACGGGCTGCTATGTTTGGAGGACGGACTGCTATGTTTGGAGGACGGACTGCTTTGTTTGGAGGACGGGCTGCTATGTTTGGAGGACGGACCGCTATGTTTGGAGGACGGACCGCTATGTTTGGAGGACGGACTGCGTTAAAGGGTAACGTTCTCAGTTGCCTGCCGTGGGAGGCAAAGCTTTACGGTGCACTTTTAATTTCAGGTTCAAGTCCCATTCAGGCCGGGACGTTTGGGCAACATTTCCTGACCTCTGATGTGTCTGCTTACCTAGCAGGAAATACTTCCCGTCAATAACAGTAGACTTCTCGCCCCTATCAATAGACTTCCTGTTCCTGTCTGTACACTTGTTAAAACATATTCTATTTTAATAGTTATTAATTCGTTTAGTTGGGGACAGGGAGACTGGGAATACTGATACTTAAGGATTGTATTGTGGTCTCCCTGAAGGCCTTAATACTGACCCCTCACTCATGCTGCAACACCCCACAACAGCTGCCTAGCTCCCGGGGTCTCCATTTAGTGCAGTGTGAACCAAAACAGCATCAGATGAAACGAAACATGCCCAACCACTTCTGTCCCGCCCTTGGGAGTCTTGATCGCGAGTCGAGAGCGAACGTCCATTAATGGCACGATTACCCTTCAACAGGAGGCCAGTTTCCGGAAGGTGCTCAATAAGGAAGACGTTGCCATCAAGACGAAGCACATCCGGACGCTGGTGCTGGGCACGCACAGTGACGGAAGCGCCGCATTGTTCTGGCGAAGTGCGGCCGTCTGCCCTCCCATCTCCACCGACGTCACCGCCTGGAAGTTCTGCTATTGTCTCCACCGCCTGTGTCGCGATGGTCACCCCAGGGTGCTACACGACTCCTTCCCTCACCTTAACATGGTCACAAACATTGGTCAACACTTCGTAAGTATTAATGTCCTCTGTCATACCGTCCTGATAACCTCATAACTGCCAAGCTATTTAGTGTACCACAAAGTCCGCCTGACTAAAACATTTGAAACAAAACCAAACTGGAAAAACTGACACGAGCTATGGTGAGCCCGTAGTGGACTTACTTAGCACAGGAGTGGGGCTGTAACACGTAGCCCGGGCTATGGTGAGCCCGTAGTGGACTTACCTGGCACAGGAGTGGGGCTGTAACACGTAGCCCGGGCTATGGTGAGCCCCTAGTGGACTTACCTGGCACAGGAGTGGGGCTGTAACACGTAGCCGGGCTATGGTGAGCCCCTAGTGGACTTACCTGGCACAGGAGTGGGGCTGTAACACGTAGCCCGGGCTATGGTGAGCCCCTAGTGGACTTACCTGGCACAGGAGTGGGGCTGTAACACGTAGCCCGGGCTATGGTGAGCCCCTAGTGGACTTACCTGGCACAGGAGTGGGGCTGTAACAAGTAGCCCGGGCTATGGTGAGCCCCTAGTGGACTTACCTGGCACAGGAGTGGGGCTGTAACAAGTAGCACGGGCTATTTATATAAATGGATTTAAACTATTTCACAGATAGATATATTAGACGAGGAGGGGGAGTAGCCATATATGTTAGGGAAAATTTGGAATGAAGTCTCAAAGAGGGAATCAAAACTGAGCCACACACAGAAAATATTTGGATAGAATTAAACGGAAGAGCAAAAATTCTTATAACAGGAGTTATATATAGGCCACCAAACGTAAACAGGATGGAAGCAAAGCCCCCATGGAATGCAATATCTAGAGCATCTAGGTTTAGCAGCATTTGTGTCATGTGTGACTAATTTTAGTGGAATAAATTGGTCTAACAGAACAGGGAATGATGAAGCAGAAGATTTTATAGAATTAATTGACGATTGCTTTCTTAGCCAACACATTAAGGAACCAACGTGGGAAAATAATATTTTAGATTTAGTGTTAACAAACAGGAAACACAAATTAATGACATCGAAATAGGGTCGAGTGAGCTTGGCAACAGTGATCACAAAGAAATCAGATTTAGCATAGAATGGAATAGATCTGTAAGAGAAAATTCTGTTAAAGTGCCAGATTTTCGAAAAACTGATTTCAATAGCCCAAGAATTTTTTTTGGGTGAAATAGATTAGAAAGTCTTGGGTATGGGGGATGGGCCGGTCTTGGAGCGAGACATGAACCCAGCGATAGGTGACGTAAAAGGGATTTCGATGTGGATTCAAAATATAACTTATTTAAAAATATTCTAAACAAAGCCCAGGAACGTAGTATGCCATACAAATTGAATAGATCGAATACTAATGACACAAAGTGGATAACAAAGGATCTGAAAAACCTTATAGGTAAAAAGAGAGAGTGGTACAAAAGGGTTAGGAATAGGGAAGTCAGTTTAGAACAGGAATTCGTACAACTGGTTAGAAATGTTAAAAAAGAGATAAGGAAAGCAAAAAGAAACTATGAAGTTCGCATAGCAGGGCAAGCAAAGACAAATCCTAAAGTTTTTTCAGTTATATCGAACAAAGACTAGGGAAAGGATAGGTCCATTAAAAACTAAGACAGGTCAAATAACGGATAATGACGAGGAGATGAGTAGTATTTTTAACAAATATTTTATATCTGAATTTACTAAAGGTGGACTTAACAATAATACTAAAGGACTTAACAATATGCCTTCAGCCGAACAAGTCTATGTGGGTGGGGATGAGGACAGGTTGACTAGTTTAGCAGTTACCAGGGAGGATGTAATTAAACAAATAGCAAAACTAAAACCAAACAAATCCCCAGGGCCGGATGAAGTGTTTGCCAGGGTGCTTAAGGAATGCAAAGAAGAGCTTTGCGACCCACTGTCTACCATATTTAATAAATCAATAGAGTTAGGTAGAGTGCCAGAGTCATGGAAGGTTGCTAATGTGGTACCCATTTTTAAGAAAGGAGATAGATCACTTGCGTCAAACTATCAGCCAATTAGCCTAACGTCTATTGTGAGAAAGTTACTTGAATCGATAATCGCAAATATAATTCGTCTTCATCTTGAAAAACATAAATTAATAAATGAGTCGCAACATGGTTTTAGAAATGGCCGTTCATGTTTACAAATTTGCTATCATTTTATTCCAGCATAGTTGAGGCAGTTGATAGTGGTAAGAATTGTGATGTTGTGTACCTTGACTTTAGCAAAGCTTTTGATACAGTGCCGCATGAAAGACAGATTAAAAAGATAGCGGCTCATGGTATTGGGGGTGCTATATTAAGTTGGGTTAGGGCATGGCTATTCCGAAGGAAACATAAGAACATAAGAAGAAAGGCAACTGCAGAAGGCTTATTGGCCCATGTGAGGCAGCTCCTATTTATAACCACCCAATCCCACTCATATACTTGTCCAACCCGCGCTTGAAACAATCGAGGGACCCCACCTCCACCATGTTACATAAGAACATAAGAACAAAGGTAACTGCAGAAGGCCTATTGGCCCATACGAGGCAGCTCCTATCTATAACCACCCAATCCCACTCATATACTTGTCCAACCCGCGCTTGAAACAATCGAGGGACCCCACCTCCACCACGTTACGCGGCAATTGGTTCCACAAATCAACAAACCTGTTACTGAACCAGTATTTACCCAAATCCCAGTGTCCAGTGTACAAAAGGACATGAAAGGACATGACCTGTCTCAGATTTTAATGGACCTATCCTTTCCCTAGTCTTAGTTCGATATAACTGAAAAAAAACCTTTAGGATTTGACTTTGCTTGCTCTGCTATGCGAACTTCATAGTTTCTTTTTGCTTTCCTAATCTCTTTTTTAACATTTCTAACCAGTTGTATGAATTCCTGTTCTAAACTGACTTCCCCATTCTTAATCCTTTTGTACCAAGCTCTCTTTTTACCTATAAGGTTCTTTAGGGCTCTTTTATGCCCGAAACGCTTTGCGTAATAGTGGCTTTAGGCATTGTATGTACTAGCTCTACCTATAAGTCAACCATTCTTTGTAAAAATTTATTGTATGTATGTACCTTACCTAAATAAACATTTTATTTTTTTTATTTTATTTTTAAATTATTTGTTATCCACTTTAGGTCATCAGTATTCGATCTATTCATTTTGTATGGTATACTACGTTCCTGTGCTTTGTTTAGAATATTCTTAAATAAGTTATATATTAAATCCACATCGAAATCCCCTTTTACGTCACCTATCGCTGGGTTCATGTCTCGCTCCAAGACTGGCCCACACCCCATACCCAAGACTTTCTTATCTATTTGACCCAAAAAATTTCTTAGGCTATTAAAATCAGCTTTTCGAAAATCTGGCACTTTAACAGAATTTTCTCCTACAGGTCTATTCCATTCTATGCTGAATCTGATTACTTTGTGATCACTGTTCCCTAGCTCACTCCCTATTTCGATGTCATTAATTTGTGTTTCCCTGTTAGTTAACACTAAATCTAAAATATTATTTTCCTGCGTTGGTTCCTTAATGTGTTGCGTAAGAAAGCAATCGTCAATTAATTCTAGAAAATCTTCTGCTTCACTATTCCCTGTTTTGTTCACCCAGTTTATTCCACTAAAATTAAAGTCACCCATGACATAAATACTGTTAGATCTAGATGCTCTAGATATTTCATCCCATAGATGCTTTGCTTCCATTCTGTCTAAATTTGGTGGCCTATATGTAACTCCTATTATAATATTATTTGCTTTTTCGTTTAATTCTATCCAAATAGTTTCTGAGTGTGGCTCAGTTTTGATTCCCTCTTTGAGACTACATTTCAAATTGTCCTTAACATATATGGCTACTCCCCCTCCTCGTCTAATATATCTATCTGTGTGAAATAGTTTAAATCCATTTATTTGATATTCAGCTAATAGTTCTCTATTTTCTACATTCATCCACGTTTCGGTAAGTGCAATAATATCTATTTTTTCTGTGCAGACAAGAGCATTTAATTCATTAATTATATTTCTTAGACTTCTACTGTTAGTGTAATATATCCTAAGTGAATTGTTATTTTGAGGCCCTTTTCTTTCCCTGATCATTTTGCCAATTCTTTTCTCCCAGGAACACATACTTTTATTACCTCCTTCCTCCAAATCAATTCCCATACCACTATCTACTAACAGTTTAAACCCAAACAAACACCTCTAACCACTTCTTCCAACGAGTTCGCAACAGCAACAACCCCAGCCCTCGATAGATGCACCCCATCACGAGCATACATTTCATTTCTTCCATAGAAGTGTTCCCAGTTGTCTATGAAAGATATTGCATTTGATTTGCAATATCTTTCCAGCCGGCAATTGACACCAAGTGCCCTCGACATCCATTCATTTCCCACTCCCTTTCTTGGAAGAATGCCACATATGATCGGGATTCCTCCCTTGCTCCTAACTAATTCAATGACTGTCCTGAATCTCTGTATTAGTTCCTCACTCCTAACTCGCCCAACATCATTACCCCCTGCACTAATACAAATAATGGGTTTGTTCCCATTTCCCGTCATAATATCATTCATGTTTCCAACAATATCACCAATTCCAGCTCCCGAATAGGAAACCCTTAATCTGTTCCCCCTATCTCTGTCACAAAACGTTCTGTCTAAATACCTCACCTGGGAATCTCCCACAACCAAAATTCGCTTCGGTACCTCCTTAACTTTCTGAGCAGCCTGAGGGGCCTGCGCTCCGCCGCTCCTCGCCGATTTTCATTCCGAGTGAACTGCAGGCGCACCACAGCACTCGTCCTCCAACACGGCAAATGAATTTGCTGTCCTTAGGGCGTCTGTAGGCGGCCTTGTCAAGGTCTTCTTAAGACCCTGGTCCTTCACGACTCTCCACGATGAGGTCCGGTCAACACTGGTCTCCTCCTTCGTTTCCTCCCGAAGTCTCAGCCGTCGTACCTCCTCCCGCAGGGAATCCATCTCTGCTCTCAGAGCTCCAACCAGACTCACCTGTCATGTTCACAGAAAA